AAAATGCCCTACCTAATTTTGTGTAAATTGCAAAGCAAAATATATGAAGGAATAGAATAGTGGTTTATATGCAAAATGCATGCCTGATTATTCGCAAAGTCTGAAAGGAATAAATCCTCAATTATAGTCTTTGGAAATAAGCTTCTTGTAATTTTTGTTGCACGTAGAAACTATTTGCAAAAGAAATCTCAATGACTAAATATTAGTTTGAAAAAAAGATAAAGAACACCAAAGTAAGGAAATAAATGTGACGAACTCACCTCTCCCTAGAGCGTACCCCAGGGTTTAGCGGACCGCCTACCCAACTCTCGTCAGGACTCACTCACTCACGTCAAGAAAATAAGTTACAACTTCAAAAGTAAAGGAAACAACAGTTCCCAAGCTTGGAACGTACAATTACATTCATTTCTATCTCAAACATTCATATAATCCCCAAATATAACAAAAGATTTGAGTTCCAGATACATTCAACTTTAATCGAGCACTAGTGCGCATACAATTGCCAAAAATTCAAAAACTAGACTATGCTAACCTATATCAGCCTCACTGTGAGGACTCACAAAATTTACTTATTTAATCTCCTATTTCTAGCTTATTTAATTATTTATTTGGCCTTTTACTCCGATTATTATTTTCTAAGCTTTTGAGACCTAATTACATGGAAATATAGTTTCATTATATTTTTAAAGTGACTTGTTTCAAAAATTAATTTCCGGAAGCTTGTTTAGTGAAAATAGTGAACGCGTCTTTGGAAATCTTGACCGACTGAGAGTACAATAAGTTTGGAATATTGAAGATTTGTGTAATGGACCTAAATTAGGTATTTTAATGTTTAAATACTCAAGTGATAGTTATTAATATTGTCGTTATAAGAATTTCTCAGAAGTTTCGCGTTATCGCGCTTAAATTGGAGATACGTGTTTTCATACGCGCGATTTAAATTTAGGAACTTTAGACCCTTATTTTGGGACAATTGAGAGTGAATAATATTTATATGAATATAAGTGCATTAGAGGTTTAGTGTACTAGTAAAACAAACGCGAGAGGAATCGAGCACGAAACGCGCGCGAGTGCGCGCGGTAGTAGAGTTGGCTTTTGCACAAATGGGCCACACACTTGAAGCTTCTCTTGGAAGCTAAAATCTGATCACTCTCTCTCTCTCTCTCTTGAGCTCCAAACAGCCGGCCAGATCTCTCTCTCTCTCAACCTCCAAGTTTCAAAATTTCTTCTCACAAAAACCTCACCAATCTTCATCCAAATCCTACCAAATTTCATACACACTTAGATCCACTCTTGGACACCACATTGAGCTGCAAAAAGGAGCTAAAACTCACGGTTTTTCTTGTGCTAAGGAAGGCCAAAAATTCTGACTTTGTTCACCACACTAGTAGGTAACGATCAACTACCGAAATCTTGTTTTATGGAGGTTCAATTGCGCGTATAAACTCTTGCATGCATGTGGGTAGTCTTGTTTATGGTGTAAAATTGAATGGGTGGGCTCTATGAACTCCCACCTTTGTCTTGGGGACTGATCTCATTCTTGATGATGGATTTAATGTTGGTTTAGTGCTCAAAATGGTAGATTAATGGTGTATAACTAGTAGAAACTTCAAGGGGTGCATGGAGTAAAAAGTTTCAATTTTGCCCCTGCTTTGATCGTACCCTTTTCTGCAGAATTTTGAGGGTTTAATGGCTTGTATATGATGTTTATATGTTGTATAGATGGTGTACAAAATTTCATTGAAAAATAACATGATTTGGTTGGTCAAATGAGTTGATTTCCAAAGTTAGCAAAACTGGAAAATGAATCCCGTATTGCCCAGGCAGTCATTTTGTATCGGCCATAACTCTTTCCTCCGATGTCAAAATCGAGTGCCGTTTGAGGCATTGGAAACTAGACATTCCCAGATTTCCATTGGTACCAAATGCACGTTCTGGTTCCACTTGAGTGAGCCACACCATTCGATTGAAAATCACTGTCCTGTTTCGTTTCTCTCCAGGAGACAGGACAGGACTTGTATTTGGATGCTCAAAAACGAGCTGTTTGTGGATAGAATTTGAAAATGATTTCTTCTGATAAAATTCAGCTTTATGAATGTGTTTTCCAACGCCACCAACCATGCTCAATTCCAAGTTGAATTGAGTGAGTTGTGCTCATATTTCGAAACTGATGCAGAGAGTAAAAATCCTCTTTTGACTAGTTAAATAGCCTAGCTTGATTTGGGACTTGTTGTTTTGGAAACTTTGATGTCCAACATCTACCAAACTTTATATTAGATGTTCCTTGGACTTTGTTTCACAAATAAACCAGATTTGGGTTGGTTGCTTTGGACAAAATGTTTAAAAAGGAAAGAAGAGCTAGAAGACAGTTTTACCTTGGGAAATTTCTTGAACTTTGATGGTTTAGTTAACTACCTTCCCATGTGAATTTTTAAATAAAATTTGATAGAAGAGTAATCCTCATATGTAGGTTTAATTGTGCAAATTTGGTAATATTCTAAGACCATTTTGATATGCAAATGATGTCACAAAATTCGCTCATTGAATCTGGAAAACTTTTCGTTTTCTCTTAGCCAAATGGTCAAATCTGATTTGGAGAGTTTTATTTCGAAAATTTGGATGTCAATGGTCTTTAAATTGCTCAATGGATGTTTATGAACTCTTGGTTTCAATAATGGAGAGATTTGGAACTGATTTCATGGTACAAAAAGTTTGTAAATAAAAGAAAAGTGAGAAGGTAGTTTACCCTTGAAACTCTTCATAAACTTTGGTTGTTTTAATGACTGCCTTACCGTGAGAGTTTTTGTATGAAACTTGGTAGAAATGTTGTTCACACATGGAATATTTAGTGTACCAAGTTTGATGTATTTCCAATGCCAACTCGATGACCAAATGATACTTCGAATCTAGTCTTCAAACCTGGAAAATAACCCAACAGTCTTAACTTTTTCAGCAACTTGGAGCTACTATATCTTGGTGCTCGAAACTCCATTTCTCATTCCGCTTGTTTTGTTATACTCTTGGATTACAACACTAATTGATTTCCAAATTTCAAAGGTTAGTTCAAAACAAGTGAATTTTGCCGAATTTCCAAAGTTGGCCAAAAACCAACTTAAATCTGTCTTGGTAATTCAAGTTACCAACTTTGAGCCAAAATTTGAGTGCCTTTCACTTACATTCGTGGAAAAGTGTCTTCTAAGAACTTTTAGTAATTTCAAAGAGGTTTCCAATGGTACCAAGTTTTCCAATTTTGGACTTTCAGAGAATGAGTTATGATTTTTCCAACAATGCCCCTAAATCCGATAATTCTTAGCTTTTTGAAAATATTTTCGTGGGAAATATTTTCACAGAATCCGGCCGGATATCCGGCCAGTTCTTGGCCAGATTGTGACGTGTTGTATCTTCATCCGACTTCGGTCATTCGTTTGGAAAATGATTTTTCTTGATTTCATACCTACTTGCTTCCATCCAATGAACTCCACTCTTGGGCCTTGATTTTCGAGAAAATTTAGGCTCATCATTGCGATATTTTCTAGATTATACTAGTGTGTGACCCTTCGTGATAATTGGGGATTTTAAACGATAGTGTGTAATAGACAACGATTGTTTGCTCAGGTGCTCGGGGACCTTCAAGAGGATCTCGGAGTGGACACCTAAAACGCTTGTTTGAGAACTACTCGTTTGTTTTGACTAGGTGAGTGTTCCATATAGGAATACGTAATTGAATAAGTCTAGGACATGCTCATTTCATGATTATTAAGTGTTAAGTACTATGTGTTAAGTATTTACCATACTCATGCTTATATAAATAATGTATACTTGTATTGCATATCGACATGAATTGGTTAAATGATTAACCACATCAAATGACCATATGAACTTGATACATGCTTAACTTGCTATATTGCTTGCTCAGTCTACTCGATTTTGAAAAAAAAATGGGGTCGAGTGTGTACTTTATCGCACTCGTTCTCTTTTGAGATGAATAACTCATGCTTGGAAATGCTCGAATAACATGACTTGGTATGCTATGGTTGCATACGTCGTTGGAGTGAATCTCCTCGACTCTCACATGGTAAAAATGGGGTAACGGGCAATGATAGCCTATTCATATGACAAATGCCTGTCAATTAACCGTCACTACTCAACCGTTAATCGTCAACCGTTAACCGTCAACCGTTAACCGTGAACCGTGAACCGTGAACCGTTAACCGTTAACCGTGAACCGTTTACCAACCTATATGACTACCTGATTACTTGACTATTTGCTCACATGATTTCCAATCTACATGACTATTCGATATCCGTGAATTACATGCTCCCATGAAATCAACTTGTATTGCTTACGTGCTTACGTGCTAAGTATCCACTTGATTACTTGATTATCATGAATTACATGTTATGTGAAGTTGTCCATCATTGTTAGGCGAGTGTGTACTTTACCTCACTCGACCTACTGAAATGATGAATTTTACCTTTTGTCGAATTACTTGGTTACCTGTGCATGTTGTAAGCTCTAAGCTGAACTTGGGCCCTGCCCTTGGTTACTGACCTACTCGAGCCAGGACTGGGCTCAGTCGGGTAGGTTGGAACCCTGGGCCACCGTTTCGGTATACTCGAGTATTACCACTGGAGGGATAAGGTGATGGCCAGTCAAACCGAGGGGATCCGGAAGTCATAAGGTGCAGATGACCGATAGAGTTCCACTGGAACACTGTATCCTACAGTATATGTTTACCTTGTATCATGATAATTGTTTCATGCTAAAATGCCAACATCAAATCCTGAGCTATGCCTGTGATATGCTCCATACCTGTTACCTGTCCAATGTACTCATATCATGATACCTGTTTCATGTTAATGCTCCATACCTGTAACATGCTTAATTACTCGCACCTGTAATAAGCTCCAATTGTGGCGACCCCACTTCCCCCTAAGGCGAACCAGAGGGTTGGCGGGCCGTCTGCCCAGCTCTCGCCAGGACTCACACAAGCAACTAGCAAAAGTCCTTCCGAAGTATAACCTAATCTATTACAACATCGTTTCCCTCCAAATAGGCCGGTTTCTAGAATCACATTAACTTCAGAGATAACAGTGCCTTAAGATAGCCAACGTCGATTCTTAAAATACCTTCCCGATTACAACCCTAGAAACAAAACATATAATTCAAATACATCCTTATAAGCCAAGTAACAAATTTCATACAAGCCACATACAAATCCAGGGTTTACACTTTTCCAGCTTCAAGTGGCAACCCGAAGCAAAAGCTACATTGTTTAATTCAAACTACATGCTTAAAATACAAGTAGATCTCAAGTCTTCCTCAGTTGTCAGAACCTGTAAAAGAAAACCACAACGTGGGATGAGCTACACAGCCCAGTGAGGTTCCAAGACGCTCTAACAGTTCAAATAGGTCAAGTAAGTTATGCATATCGTATGCATGATTCTAGATTACACAATGGCATGTTACCATGAGGTGATAATCATTACAAGGGTAATTGCTACTTTGAAAACACATGTAGAACTAGTACTTTTGGAATGAATGGCCATATATAAATTTTCAGTCAAACAAATAGTGGCTCGTCCGACTAGAAGGACATTACAAGGATTGCTTCATCTCAGAGGTTAATGCTCATGAGGAGTCTTACCCGAGAATGCCAACTAGGAGAGCAATAACATTATTAATAGCAAAGCAAACACAAAAGGATACGGTGTTCCAGTGGAACTTTGTCGGTCATCTGCACCTTATAACTCCCGGATCCCCACGGTTGACTGGCCATCACCTTATCCCTCCAGTGGTAATACTCGAGTATACCGAAACGGTTGTCCAGGGTTCCAACCTACCCGACCGAGCCCAATCCTGGCTCGAGTAGGTCAGTAACCGAGGCGGGGCCCAAGTTCAGCTTATAGCTTACAACATGCACAGGTAACAAAGTAATTCGACAAAAGTAAAATTCATCATTTGAATAGGTCGAGGGAGGTAAAGTACACACTCGCCTAACAATGATGGACAACTTCATATGAGCATATAATTTATGATAATCAAGAAATCAGTAACCACATATATTAGAAAACGGTAAGTAAACACGGTAAACGATAAACGGTAAACGGTAAACGGTAAACGGTAAACGGTGGTAATTACGGTTAATTGGTAGACATATGTCATTTTAATAGGCCGCCATTGGCCGTTTTGCACTTTTACCACGTAAGAGTCGAGGAGACTCACCCCAACGAAGCAACCACATTTAGATTCACAGATTCATTAGTTATGGTAGTTGATTTACATGTCGAGGGATTCACCCAACGACGAAACTACATTTAGATTCACAGATTCATATGTTGGTAGTTGGATTCACATGTTGAGGGATTCACCCAACGACGCAACTACATTTAGATTCACGGATTCATTAGAAAATATTTCACACACTTCACCACTCGAACGGCTAGTGTGATAAAGTACACACTGCGCACTTCGATGGATCGGAACTCATTTTCCAAATTGTCACATAACGAGTTACAAGAGCACTTTAACCGAATAAGCATAAAATAAGCAGGCTAAGCACATATTGAGTTTACAAGATTATTTGACAGGGTTAATCATTTAACCAATTCATGTCGATATGCAATGCATATATATATTTCTTAAATAGACACGAGTATGGTAAATACTTAACGATCATGAGATGAGCATGTCCTAGACTTACTCAATTACGTATTCCTATATGGAACACTCACCTAGTCAAACAAGGGCAATAGGTTCAATTTGAAGTTCAAGCGTCCTCTGTCGGATCCTCTTAAAGGTCCTCGCGTGCGCCTGAACGAATAATAATAGTCTATCATTTACAATTCCTACTATTGTTGAAAATCGTGTCATAGTACAAATTTAGGAAAAATCTCGTGAACAAGTCTTAACCTAAATCTAAATTCTCAAGCGGGGTTTCAAGGTACAAGAGAAATTAAGTCTACATCATGAAATTCAAGGATAAGACATTTGAATATTATCGAAGGAATAAGGAGTACTTGAAAAACTCCATTTCCTTGGAATACGGAAAATTTCAGTTTTGATGCAATACTTTGAAAAATTGTAGCTCACCTTTTACATGTCAAAGATTGGAAAACTTGCTACCGTTGGAAACTTCCTTCAAAATGCTAAAAGTTCCTAGAATACACTTTTTCATGATTCTAAATGAAAGATAGTCAAAATGGGCTCAAAGTTACTGTTTTGGTTCATAAGGCAGATTTAAGTTAGTTTTTGGCCAACTTTGGAAATTCGGAAAAATTCACTTGTTTGGAAATAGCTTTTGAAATTTGCAACTCTATTAGTGTTGTAATTCAAGAGTATAACAAAACAAACGGAATGAGGAACGGAGTTTTGAGCACCAAGATACGGTAGCTCAAAGTTACTAAAATTTTCTTGTTAAACAAGGGTTTTCCAAAATCAAGTCTCGAACTTTGGTAATTTATTTGACCCATGAAACGGCCTCAGAATAACACCATAATTAGCAGTATAATACTACCATATAAGGGTTGTCCCTCTACCAAATTTTGTAGAAAAATATGCACGGAAAGTTGGTGAACTAATTCACCAAAGTTTCAAAGTTTCCAAGGCAATTTGCCTTGTGAGCTTCGTTTTGCCGTTTTCAAAACGTTCAACCCAAAGGTTACCTCAACCATGGTCCATTTACATAGAAAAGGTTTAAGGGTCATCCCAGAACAACATTTGTGGTGATTAACACCAAGAGATTTAATTTGCAAGTCTACACCGAGCCTTGCGTCAAATCTGTCTAAAAATCAGGGTTTTCAAGGACAGAGCAGGTTTCCTATTTTGATCATAGATCACTCAAATTAACTCAGAATTGAGCATGGTTGGTGGCGTTGGAAAATACATTTGTAGGGCTATACTTTCACAGAAGAAGTCATTTTGAAATTCGGCATACAACTAGCTCGAATTCGAGCCACAAGTTGCAGCCTCAGCATTTCGTTCTTGTAAAACAGAGAAACAGAGTATTCAACTTTAAATGGTTGGTTCGGCTCACACACATGGAACCAGAACATACATTTTATACCGTTGGAAAGGCTGGGATGTCTAGTTTCAAATGCCGCTGACGGTACTTAATTTCGACAACGGAGCACAAATTTATAGCCGAAATACGAAAACTGGTCAAAGTATTACTGAAATAGTTCCAGATTTACTAGCTTTGCGAAATCATTTTATTTGACCAACCAAAACTCAATATTTTTCAATGAAACTTTGTACACCACATATTTAACATATAAACATAATATACAAGTCATGAAACTCTCAAAATTCTACAAAAAGAGGTGCGATTAACACAGGGCAAAACTGGACATTTTTAAACTATGCATCTCTTGGAGCCTAGACTAGCTAGGTATCATTAATCTATCTATTTAAACACTAAACTAGCATTATAATTATCATTAACCACAAAATCAACAACAACCCAAGATTGGGAGTTCATAGAGCCCACCATCAAAATTTTCCAACCATCATTTACCAAAGAAAAATTCCAGAACAATTGCAAAATTTCAGTTTCACTCCCTTGGCTTTCACAAAAATTTCCAGCAGCTAATTGGTCATAAACCCAACTTTTCCTTCGGTTAATTCATGGTATTAGGTGCTCAGAATTAACATGCAAATACTTAATTAGCTAATCAACATTTCTTGTTCAAAAATTAGATTCGGACAACAGTAACATTAATCCAAAAAAATTCCAGAAATTCCGTTTGCTACCTTCGGATGAACTTGCATGCGGACAGATTGCATTTTATTCTTATTTCTTCTTGCTTAACCGAATCAAGGAGCTGCATGTAAAGCTTAAACATCTTGTTCTTAGTTAGTTAATTATATTTATAAGCTGAGATTACTACAAGAAACAAGATTAGCGCTGCAATTCTGTTTTAGTTCTCGGCAAAACCCGTTGCCGACGCAATTCAGATTTTCTTTTCTTCTTAAACTCATCATCCGAGCCTAACTTCACATGCATGCTTATAATCAGCATTCTCTACCTAATATCAGCTAATCTGAGACCGAAAATTACCTCAGCTGGAGGCTCAACTCACACGACAAGCTGCTGCAAATTTTCTCCCTTTCTCTCGGCTCGCACACGGACTGGAAGGTTGCAGCTGCTCTTGGTTGGGTGCAGTGGGTCACGGTTGGTGGAGGTGAATTGCAGCTGGTTAAAGTGAAGGTGGAGAGTGCAGCAGCAGCTCACGCACGGTCTCTCTCCTTTCACTCTAGCTTACGGCAGAATTGAAGATGGAAGCTTACTCTCTCGGACAGCACCAATTTTCTGATCGCATGACTTCCTTTCTTTTCTCTCTTCGATATTCACAAGGTGAAGAATGGAGTGGGTTGTTGTTGTGAGTTGAGGTGCGGTTGTGGAGAGATAGAGTGTTTGAGAGGATGGTTTGCTGAAATGGAGAAGTTGCGTGGTTGAGAGGAGCAAAGAAAATGACATCCGGCAGAGAATGGGATTGGGTGATCTAAAGGTTGGCCAATGGAGCTTCGGTGGTTGCATGGTAAATCCGAGATGGTTGAGGGCCAATTTGGTCTATTCACAAATCATTCGAATTTCCACTTAAACTCTCATTCATAAACTAACTCCGAGATTTTACTCCAAATAAAATTCGATAGCCTACTAGTGTACTAATCTCGCGAAAAAAAATTCAATTATCGAGATTTAACGTCCTAAGTATACTTGGTGTACTTGTAACGATTTTGTCTAAAATTTATCGATTGCACCTTAATACTAAGGTTCCTATTAACATTTAACATTCTTGCTTTATTAATTAAACTAATAAAATCAAGGGTGACCTTAATATATAACTCTAACATTCTTAATATTCATTTATCTTAACAGAAAACCAAGTGGTTTAATATTGTTGCTCCATAATATTATTTATCGCATAAAAAAAATTGTTTAAGAAGGTAAAGATAGTTTTCTATTGGTTTCTAACTAACATGGAAAATCAACATTTAATCTTTGTACATGTTAGGCATCTACATGCTTCAAAACGAATGTTTTTCCATGTTTATTTTATTATTTATTTTCATAACAATAATTCTAACTAGTACTAATATTTAATGGGGTAGGTGATACAAATTCCAAGGTATTACTAGTTTATTTGTTAACGTAAAGAAATAATTAAACATGTATTTTAATAAATAAAAGAAAGTGGATCATGTGTGAAATTTTAATTTAAGGAATAAAATTTTCAAGCTCTCACTCGAAATTCTTGCAGTTATCTTAGGTAAATCAGGATATTTCTAAATTCTCAATTTTTATATAACGATTCAATTAGGCTTTTAATTTAACCACTTATTCGTTATATGTAATTTTTCGAATCGATTATTAACTGCAGTCGCGTATTTACTATTTTCACTTAACGAGCCTACAGAAATTAAATTTCGAAACGAAACGCTTTAAAAATATAACTAAGCTATGGATATATTTAATTAAACCTAAAAATGTTAGAAAATAATAATCGGAGAGATCGGGTGAGTAAATACTTATTTGAGCCAGCAAAATAAATGAAGTAAGCAAAATTTTCGGGTTCTTACACCAATCACTCGTGAACTATACATGCCAATGTCTTGAACCATGATAACTGTCTCATGATAAATGTCTCATACCATGATACATATCTCAAATTACCCGTACAATGATTATCACCTCATGATAACATGCCATTGTGTAACCTTGAACCATGCATATGATATGCCCAACCTACTTGATTTATTTGAACCGTTAGAGTGTCTTGGAACCTCACTGGGCTGTGTAGCTCATCCCACGTTGTGATTTTCTTTTACAGGGTTCGAGACCAAGGGTGCTCGTGAGTAGTACTAGATTGTTTTCTTTTGAAAACTTTAAGTTATATTATAACGGATGGCTATTGTACCCTTTTCCATTGGGTTGTATTTAAGCTTGAAAGCTGCATAATTATAAATGTGAGATATTTGAAGTACTTTAATTATGTATTGAAGTTACTTAAAGTATTTCGAGCTTTTGAATGATGGATTGTAGTGAGTCCTGGCGAGAGCTGGGCAGGCGTCCCGCGGATACCCTTTGGTTCGCCTTAGGGAGAAGTGGGGGCGTCACACTCACGCTCTCGCTTGCACCCCCTGTAAGGAAAACAAAAACTAATAGAATGAGCTAAAACTTAGTGAGGTTCCAAAGCTTCATGCAGACCCAAGTAGCAAGTTGGTCATTATGTAAAACTTAAAATATCAAAGTAGCGAGCATAAGAGTTCATAAAAGTTGGCAATAACAATTCAAATTAGTAAATCATTAAATATCCAACAATTTCAGGTAAAAGAATACAGATGGCTCTCAAGAGCCAAATTCCCACTGCATTACTTGATCCTAACATGTTGACACTCCATCAACGTTTGAAGAAGTAAACCGTGACCATAGATCTCCACTTTACACCAATTTCCATCCACCAATGAACCCCCTACCGGGCCCGAAATCCAAAATAAGGATGATGATAATACTCGAGTATACCGAATCCAGTGGACCATATCCAAAAGATTATACAATAAACAATAAACAGTACCTATAGTTCTCCAGTCTCCTCGACCAAGCCCTTACTGGCTCGATTCGACTGACTAGCCAATAGAGTGAGGATAAAAGTAGTGAGACGGGATGAGAGGCACCTCCCACTTGGATTGAGTGTAGTACATGCTACCGCTCAGCACTTACAATTCAAGCACAAGCACAAACTAGTAAACAATAAATAGTAAGAAATCACATTAAGGCAAGTGCGATAAAGTACACCCTTGCCCGTCCAACAAGTCAAGTATTTCTTTCAAATATC